CTGAGGTAGGAGGACTTCTGTGAGTTCAAGGCCAGCCTGGGCTACACAATGAGTTCAAGGTCAGCCTGAACTGTATAGCAAGAATCTATCTCAAAACATAAATACACAATTCAAAAGAAGTAGATAGGGGCTGGGGACATAGGTCAGAGACAGAAGTACCTGCCTGGCAAGCACAAGGTCCTGAGTTTGATTCCTGATACAAAAATAAAAAAAACAAACCAAACCAAAAAAATCTCAAAAGAAATGGATAGATTACTAGATACATATCAATTATCAAAATGAACAATAAGACATAAAAACACTGAATACTCCCAACAGCCAAGGATAATGAACCAGTAATAAAAATCCCTACCAATTTAGAAAAGCCCAGAACCTGACAGATTTACTGCTGACTTCTACAACTTCAGTAATGCCAATACTCCTCAAAGTCTTTAATGAAACTGAAAGGGAAGGAATACTCCCAAAGTCATTCCTGGAAGCAAGTAGTACCTTGATAACAAAACCAGACAAAAACCCAACTTAAAAAAAAAAAAAAAAAAAAAAAAAAAAAAAAAAAAAACCACATGCAATCTCTTTAATGAACACAGATGTAGAAATTCTCAACAAGATTCTGACAAACAGGAAATCACAAAAAGATCATACAGCATGACCCAATAGGCTTCATTCTAGGGATACAAGGATGTTTCAGCACACACAAATCAATAAATATAATACATCACAAACAGAAACAAGGATCAAAATCATATGATCATCTCAAGAGATGAAGAAAAAGCCTTTGACAAAATCCAACATGCATTTTTTATAAAAACCCTGAAGAAAATAGAAAGGACCTTATCTCAATCTAATAAAAGTCATTTATGATCACCCTACTGCCACCACCATATTAAATAGGAAAAACCTGAAAGCTTTCCCTCTGAAATCAGTAACAAGACAAGGAGATTCACTATCACTGCCACTGTCTGATTTAGTACCTAAAACCTCAACCAAGGGAGTGAAGCAAGAGAAACAAGTAAAAGGGATACATACAAGAAAGGAAGAAGTCTAATTAGTAACTGCAGATGACATGGTCTTTTACATGGAAGATCCAGAAAATTCCAACAAAAAACTGCTAGAGTTCATAACCAAGTCTAGCTATGTAGCTGGATACAAAACATGATGGCTGATTGTGTCAACTTGAGAAGTTTCATTATGAGACGCCTAACACAATCATCTCAGCAATTCCATACCCTAAGGGAAATGAGGAAGGACCAAGCTGTTCCTGTGTTTTTGGAGGAGCTCTAGTCTTTGCCTTCACTTTGGACGTCATCTCCCGGCTGCCAGTGTAGACTTCTCAGCCTCCACCACGGAGCCATCAGCCTCCTGACACAGACGCAAGGGGACACTGCAGTCAGTGAGTACCAGTCCTCAGACCGAACCCTTCAGCTTCCAGTGTGTGCACAGACTTTCTGCACTCTTCCCATCCGACTCTGTGGGTGGCCACTGTGAGCCAGTCTGTCAGTTCTGCATTTATATACCTTGTGCTATCTCTGTTTCTCTAGTAAACACCGACTGACATACAGAGGCAACACATGAAAATCAATAGCATTCCTGTACGGCAGTGATGAATTCACTGAGAAAGAACAAGGCCATTCACAGTAGCACCAAGAAGATGAAAAACTTAGGAATCAACCTAAGAAAGTGACAGACCCTTACAATGAAACCTACAGAGCTCTGAAAAAGGTGGCTGAAGACATCAGAAAATGGAAAGATGTTCCCTGTTCCTGGATGGGAACCATACCCTCAAAGTGGCTACATTTTTAAAACTAATATATAGTTCTAACACAACCCTATTCAAAGCTGAATCAAATTACAAGCAGTACTCTTCACAGAATTAGAGAAAACAATACTTAAATTCATATGAAATTAGAGGACACCTAGAATAGCAAAAGCAATTCTGGGCCCTAAGAGCAAAGCAGGAGATATCACAATCCCAAATTTCAAGTTACATTATAAAGCTACAGTGATTGGGGGCTGGGGACTTAGCTCAGCGGCATAAGCACCTGCCTTAAAAGCAGGCAGTCGTGAGTTCGATCCCTGGTACCGATAAAAACGAAAAAGACAAAAAAAAAAAAAAAAAAAAAAAAGAAAGCTACAGTGATTAAAAAAAAAACACGGCACTGGTAAAAACAAAACAAAAAACAAAAAAAAACCCAGACATGTGGGCCAGGGATTTAACTCAGCAGCATAGGCACCAGTTTGGCAAGTGTGAGGTTGTCACTCTGACGGGGGTGGGGGTGGTGGTGGGTGGTGGTGGGTGGGGTGGGGGGAGGACACGACCCCCAGACATGTGGATCAATAAAACAGAATACAGGATGAAGAACAACCTCAGGCACATTTAGTCACATCTTTGACAAACAGATCTAAAACATATGCTTGAGGAAGAGCTGCTTGAGCAACTGGTGCTAGGACAACTGACTTATCTAACATGTAGAGGACTGAAGCCAGACCCATATCCTTCACCATATAGTAAATTAAAACCAAAAGAATAAAAAACCTAAGTATTAAAATGGAAACAATTGGATAAAATAGACGTAACTCTTGAGGGCATAGGCATAGGCAAGAATTTTCTGAACATAACACCATTTAGAAAACAAGTGACATCAAGAATCAGCAAATAGGGTTCATAGGACCATATCAAGTTAAAAAGCTACTGCAAAGGAAAACAACCAACAGAATGAGGAAACAACCTACAGAATGGGAAAAATTTTTATCAGCTACACCTTGCACAGAGGACTAACATCTAGAATATATATAGAACAAAGAAATGAAAAGCTCTCAAAATAAAGGCCCAACTAAAAAATGTGCAAATGAAATGAACAGACATTCTCAGAAAAAGTACTAATGGCCGATACATTAAAAAACGTTCAGCTTCTCTGGCCATTAAATAGAGATAAACACAATACTAAGACTCCATCTCACTCCAGAAAGAATGGCCATCATCTTGGAGATCAAATAACAACAAATGCAGGTGAGACTATAGGAAAAAAGAACATTTCTGTATTGTTGGTAGAAATGTCAACTAGCACAGCCACTACAGAAATCAGAATGGAAATTCCTCCAAAAATCAGAAGTGGAGTGCTATCCAGCCCACCTCTTTGCCTTGTTGGTTTCTGCTCTCAGAAGAGTTAAAAGACATCATATTACAATAATGCACGTGTACCCATGCTTCTGTAGTTAAATCCTGAAATGGGCCTACATGTCTATCAACTGGTAAATGGACAAAAATGAAAGTATTTATACATAGTAAGAGCACTACTTCACTATAAAGGATAAATTTGAATCATTTGTAGGAAAATAATGCACTTTGAGACCATAATGCTAAGTGAAATAAATTGGACACAGAAGCTTAAATATCGCATGTTTTCTCTTATATGAGAAACTCAAAAGCATACATAATGAGTGAAATAAAAGCCAGATAACAGGGAGACAAGATTTTTTTGCAAATGGGAAGAGTGCCAAGAGACGGAGGTAGAGGGAATGGAGGGAGAGGAAGGGGGTGTAAAAAGAACTACAAGGTGTTACATACATGTGCCAACTCCTCATGATGAATGGAATTATTATACACACCAAATATGTCCTAATAAAAATAAAATTTCATAAAAAACCCCAAATTTTTCCTAACTAAACACACATAAACAGTTCACATAAAGTTTACCAGCCATCTCTTTGGTTTTGGTTTTCTTTGGCAGTACTGGGAGATCAAAGCCAGGGCCTCACACATGCTCTAACACTGCTCACACATGCTCTAACACTGAGTTGCAACCCCCAGCCCTTTTGATAATTTTACTTTGAAGGCCGGGTGTGGTGGTGCACACCTATCATCCTAGCACTTGGGAGGCTGAGGTAGGAGGATTGCCAAGACTTTGAGGCCAGTGTGGGCTACACAGTGAGTTCAGGGCCAGTCTAAACTACAGTGAGATGCTGTCTCAAACCCAAAATGTTTACTTTAAGACAACATCTTGTTATATACCTCAAGCTGGCTTTAAATTTTTGATTCTCCTGCCTCAGTCTCCTCAGTAGCTGGGATCACAGGTGTGGAACATCACACCTGCCAGCCTAAGAAACTGTAGTCACAAAGAACTTTGGTAAAGGCAGGGAGTATGGACAACATAAAGAGGGTAGGCATCAACTTTTCAGCTGACTACATAATGGTATCTGATCCCCTTTTGTTCAATAATACACAGGACAAGGTGCCTCTGAAGTGCAAAGAGAAAGCAATCCCGTCTGCTTGAAGAGCTACTAACAGCCTCTTTGAGTTGGGTTTCAAAGGCTATGTACAATTTCATCCATTAACCAGGGTGTAGTGGTGCAGGCCTGGAAACCCAGCACTCTGGGTGGCTGAGGCAGGAGGATTGCAAGGTGGAGTTCAGCTTGGGCAACTTAGAGACTTAACCAGACCCTCAAAAAGAGGGAAGGACGTAGGGCAGGGAGGGAGGGTGAGTTGGCAATGTAGTTCAGTACTATGGCCCTAGGTTCAATCCCTGTACATGCCCTGCGCCCCCAAAACCCAACTGAGCCAATTTTCTCACTTCCACCCTGGGGCAAACACTGTAATATATTCTAAAGCTTTTTCATTACACACGTATACACACTCACACGTAGTAAGCATGCATGTTTATAAGAAGTTTGTTTTCAAAATTGAATCATACACAAAACACCGTTCTGCAACATGACCTTTTTTTGGTACCAGAGATTGAATTTACAACCTTGCGTTTGCCAAGGAGGCACTTACACTGCTGAGCTAAATCCCGGGTCCTGCAACTTGACTTTTTTCTTTTACAGTTACTTTTCTGGCAGCTTTCTATGTCTTCACACCCTGAAAAATGAATCTTCTGGAGAGTGGTAGATCTGGACTACTTACTAGAATCGTAAGACAGCCTGAAACTGTTGCTTGCTCCCACATGCACACCTATGAAAAAATAAACCATCACCCTCCATATCTGAGATGTGTTGTATCTTACCTGATGAGGAAATTTCTTCGCCTCTTTTCATTCCCAGCCTTTTATAAATTTCTCTCTCAGGATCAACATAGATTTCGTGGCAATATCCAGTCAGCTTGCAGAATGGCTGAAGAAAGGACAGTTGGAACATTTATAAGAACAAATCAAAAGAGCAATGATAGCTACCGTCAGCCCATGTGGCCTATTTTCAATGGTTCAAATAATGAACTTTTCTATATTAAACAGATTTGACCTGTCAGAGCCCCATTTCTAAATATTTACCTCAATATGATGGTAGGATGATTGTCCAATCACTATAAGGGTGATGTTCGCTTCCTTTGGGAAAAAAAAAAAGTACATAGGCATTATTACAAATTACATTTTACAGGACTTCCCCTAATCTGACTCTCATTTTATTCTAACGCCACCTAGAGGATCCTAGAAGAATGGAATGAACAGCAAACAGGAATCAAAGTTTCCTAAAATGTTTGATTCATTGGATTGTTTTTTTTTTTTTTTTATTTTTGGTCTTTTTCGTCGTTCTTATCGGTACCAGGGATCGAACTCACGACTGCCTGCTTGGAAAGCAGGCGCTTATGCTGCTGCGCTAAATCCCCAGCCCGAATTCATTGTATTCTTTTCCTAAGTAAAAAGTGCTAACTCTTAAACATAAGAACTGAATCTGCAAAACTACTAGAAAAAAACATAAAGCTCTGTGTTTTTTTGTTTGGGTAATGATTTTTTGGACGTGACCCCAGAAACACAGGCAACAGAAACAAATTTGACCAGTGAAATTGCATCAAAAAAAAAAAGGAAAATTGCATCAAAAGAAAACAATAGAATCAACAGGCAACTCCCAGGCTGGGCCGGGAAGAAATACCTCCAAAATGGATGTCTAGTAAGAGTCTAAACTCCCAAAGCTGTAAGGCCTCAACTTTACAGCAAGAAAACAAATAATCTGACTTAAAAAGTAGGCTAGCAATGTGCATCAGTGAAACAGCACTTGCCTGTCATGCATGGGGTCCTGGGTTTAATCCCCAGCACTGCAAAAACAAAAATAAAAGCAAAACAAAAACAATCCCCTCCTGAAAGGCTGGAATAATTATTTCTCAAAAAACATACAAACAGCCAACCAGTCATCAAGGAAATGCAAATCAGACACTGAGATACTGCCTCACATCCTTTGTGAGGGCTATTAATAAAAAAATGTTAGGAAGAGGAGAAAGGAAACCTCTGCACACTGTAGGTGGTAATGTCAGTACTGTTGAAATGAAAACAGTGTGTAAAAAACGTTACTACCACGTGACCTAGCAGTGATTTCATTTCTTTCCCACTAGGGAAGGAACTGAAATTAATCTGTCAAAGAAATATCTATACTCCCCTATTCACTGCTGCACTACTCACACTAGACAGGATATGGAAGTAGAAATCTAGCGTCCATCAAGGGCTCAATGGATAAAGAAAATATTGTATCACAACGGAATAGCAGTCAGCTATGAAAGAAGGAAATTTTTATTCAATTTGTGACAACATGGAGGACGTTAATGCTAAGTGAAATAAGCCAGGCCCAGCAAGATGAGTAGCACACAATCTCACTTATTCAGTAAATGGAATCAAAAAGTAGGGAATACGGTTGACACCAGGAGAGAGGTAAAAGGGTGAACGAAGGGTGTAAGTTTCTGGGTAGACAGGAAGAAAACGTTTTAGAAATCTGTGGCCCAGCAAGTTGATAATAGTTAATAATGTTTGGATACTTTAATTGTGCTAACAGATTTTAAATGTTCTTTTAAAACACATACATAAAAACTAAAAAGGAAAGGCTACTTTATTAGATCATTTTATTGTTTCACACCCTAACTGGTAAGATCTGCACAAGGTAGACTTGAGTTTTATCTAGGAAGACCATGCCTTCACTCAAAGTCTCCCAGGGGTGCAGCTCAGGAGTTAGGTGGGGCTCCGGGTTCGAGTTCCAGAACAGAAAAATAAACCCAATACAGTAAAACAAAAAGCTCTTCCAGAGGCTGAGAATATAATTGAACGGTACAGCTCCTGCCTAGCAAGCATGAGGTTATGAGTTTGATTTCCGGTACAAAAAAAAAGGGAAACCGAGGCACAAGAAAGGAAAGCCTAATGAAAAATATACCTTGGCACTTTACGGCATATTATTGCGTTTGTTTTCCAGCGAACAACTATATGGAGGAAGTTAACACAAAACAAGCAGAGTACTAACATTCGCAGCATTTGTTTTTCGGCATTACTATTTGACGTTTGAGAGCAGACAGATTACCAGGCAACAGCAAAGTATCGAAGTTATTATCATCAGTACTTTTTTTTTTCTTTTTTGGTGCTGAAGACAGCACTGCGCCACATCCTCGGGGCCCTTTTTCTGTACAGGCAGCGACCCGCCTCCTGCCTCAGTTTCCCAGGAACTACTCGCTCAGAGACAGGAAGGATCGAGGAGGTCAGGACGGAACCAGGGTGCCCCGCGCACTTGCCTCCAGGGCGCTCCTGGGAACCTTGGCCAGGTCTTCCACGTACTCCTTGCAGGCGTAGCAGAGGAAATGCCGCACGAGCACCACCATGGCGCGGCGCTCCCGGAACAGCGCCCCGAACGGCACCCGCCGCCCGCGCGCGTCCAGCACTGGAAGCTCGGCCACGCCCGCCGCCAGAGGCAGCCCTTCGGGGGCGGCCGGGACCGAGCCGGGGACAGCGCCTCCGCGGACCTGCCGCGTGACGGGCGCCGCCATCCCAACCCGAGCGTGGGGCTCCTGGGCAGTTGGGGCCGGCAGCCCAAGGCCGGACGCACGCACGCACGCACGAACCAGAACGACGGAGAGTCGCAGAGGGCGGTGGCGCGCGGGGCGGGGCTCGGGTAGGGGCGGAGCTTGAGTCAGGGCGGGGCGGTCCGGGGGCGGGGCGAGCCTCAGGACTCAGGATTCCGGCAGCATTCAGCCTCAAAGCCTGCAGCGCTGACTTGCAGTGCCGGAGTCTCCTTTAAACGTGCATAAAATATTGAGGCAATTTTACCGTGGACGTTTCTTTATCCACCACCTAGGTGCTGTCCTTAACGTTTACTCTAGCATGTTATCCCATGTTCACAATTACATGTCTTCTGACTTCCTCATCTGCCATCCATGTCCCTACTGAGATATAAAACATTTTCACCACTTGAGAAAATTCTCACAATATTACATTTGTTTCGTTTTATTTTTCGAGACAGGGTCTCGCTGTGTAGTCAGGCTGGCCTTGAATTTACTGTGTAACTAGGCGGCTTCAAACTCACAGGAATCATCTTGTCTCAGCCTCCCAAGTGCTGGGATTACAGATATGTGCCTCCATGTCTGGCGCTGCTTTTGACCAGTGCATGTGATGAATGTATCCTAGAAGCATTGCAGGAGTCCATGTTTTATTTTGAAAACGTTTCTTTTTTTTTTTTTTTTTTTTTTTAATCAGTACCTGGGATTGAACTCACAACTGCCTGATTGCAAAGCAGGTGCTTAGGCCTCTGAGCTAAATCACCAGCCCCTGAAAATGTTTCTAAGGCTATTTATCAGACCCTTCAAGTGAGATCATCCACCAGTGAAGAGGGGAGTCTATAGTGGTGTGTGCATGTTTGTGTGCTTGTTTCAGTGCTGGGGATTGAACTCAGAGCCTTTGCACTGAACTACATTTTCAGCCCTTTTTGGTTTTGCTAAATTGTCCAGACTGACTTTGAACTTGTGATTCGCCTACCTCAGCCTTCCAGAGTGCAGGGATTATGGGTGTCTGCCACCACACATGGTTCAGGATTAGATTGTTTTAATTTTGCTCTGCTGGAGATTGAACTCAGGAGCTTCTGCATGCTAGTTAGCTGCTCCTCCATTGAACCACAACCCCATACACTACTTTTGCATTAGTTTTGTAGAAATCCCACACTTTCCCACAATTTCTCCTGGGGCAGACAGGCAGGCAGGCAACCACAGAGACAACTGAGTCTTGATCTGCTGACCTCGCACCTCAGAAAACCTGCATTTCAGAACCTGAGCACTAGGAGGGCAGCCCGGGAGATAAAGGCTTGTTTTCTGTCTTTGCCTTTATCTTGCTCTTGCTCCACAGCTACCAGAGGAGGCAGAGGTGTGGAGATTCCAGTGAGGCTGTGTACCCAGCTGTGTACTCAGGAGCATGCCCCTGTGACCACCTTGTAGCAACCTTCCGGTGGGAACTGTACCTAATCTCACGCTGCTGTCAGGCGGACTCCTGATGCCTGACTGCTACCATTCATCCACCCACCTGCCTGCCTCAGCCCCCAGCATCCGACTCCCAGTGCAGACACTACATGCCCTAGGCCTGGCACCACCCTGCAGGTTCCTGGTGAGCCAGATCCATCCCTGTGCCTGCCATGCAGCCTGTGCCCACCTGCAGCTGGTGGAGCTGTTTCTTACCCTCTGTGGACTATAGGTATCTTGGGCAACCCAGAAAAGTCATCATCCAATGAGATGAATCTGTATCTTCTCAAGAGAGACCTGAAATCCCAGCACTCAGGAGGCTGAGGCAGGAGGGTCACAAGTTCCGGTGCCATCCCGAACTATACAACAAGTAGTTGAACAAAGAAAAAAAAAATCTCAAGTAGGGGGAACTGAGGAAAGAGAAAGGGGTTCCTGAGGCTCAGTCCTGAAGTCATTTTTATGCAGCCACGATGAGAAATCACTTCACACTTACTTAGAATGGCTATTATAAACTGAGACACAACCTTGGTAAGGCTGTTAATACCCTGGAACCTGTGCATACTGTTGGTGGAAGGTACTTCCTCTATGATTAGTTGTTTGCAAACTTTTTATGTCGACTTCTTTGTATCTTGTAACATTGTGGGAATTTATTAGGTGTAAAATATCTTTTTTTTAAAAGCTGGGGGTTTAGCTCAGTGGCATAACTGCCTGCTTGGCAAACTTGAGGTTGTGAGTTCAATCCCCAGTACCAAAAAAAGGGTTTTTTTTTAAAAAAATAGAGTCTTAGGGTTTTCTACATTTAAGATTATGTTGGCTGCAGAGACAATGTTATTTTTTTCTTTCTGATTTGAAAGTCATTCACTCGTCTTCTTATTTTCTTGCCTACTTGCTCTGGCTAGAACTATGTTGAAATATGAGTGAACATCTGTATCTAGTTTCTGATTTTAGTGCAAAAGTCTTCAGTTTTTCAACCTTACATTTTTAAAAATATTTTCAGTGCTGGGGATTGAACCTAGTTCCTCATACATGCCAGGGAAGTGATCTACTACTAGGCCAAGGAGGTCTAGAGAGAGTTCCTGTTTCATTGTCCCCTGACCACTAGTGGGCATTATTAATGAAGAGGACTTAAAATGCTGACCAGGAGCCAGTATTTATGTTATTTAAATCTTTATGTTATTTATCTCTTTCTCTCTTTCAGTCTTTTTGAGATATAGTTTCACTATGCAGCTCAGGCTGGCCTTGAACTCACTTTGTAGTCCTGGTTGGCCTCAAACTCACAGCAATCCTCCTACCTCAGCATCCTGGGTGCTGGGATTACAGGCATGTGTTATACTAAGATGCTGAAAAATTAAAATAATTGATTACAAGATAATTAACAAAAATAGTTACTTAAAAGGATAGTTATTAGCAATATTGTCATTCTGTACTGAGCTCGTTACCCTAGTAACCAAGTACCAACCACATAGTTATAAATTAGTTGACTGCATAGTTTTGCTGTTCTGTAATGCGCCACCCCCCCCCACCTTAGTAACCAGTTTGCTGTGTCAACTTTTGTTCCCCTTGTAAGAGACAAATGATGCTGTGTCAACCATTGTTCCCTCTATGAGACACAAATGTTCCTGGAATTGGCAGACCAAGGGCTATGAATTGGCTAACCACCCACTATGAAACGCCTCTTACCTCAAGCAAAGGGGAACAAAGGCCCACCTTGTTTCTGTTTCTCATCGCTATGTACTTAATGATCAATGAGCTAATCATAAATGAACTATAAAAATCAGTCAAAACTTTAACTCAGTTGCACAGCTTTGCAAACTCCATCTGCTCTGTGTCGCTGGGCCAGCTAAAATAAAAGTGTTTCTTTTAAAAAAGATATCTTGCCCCATTTATCATCTCGGGGGTCTTGCCCCATTTTTCATCATGGGGCCTTGTTCTTGTTTTTTTTTTGGTGGGTTACAGCAGCATGCGCCACCAAAAACTTCTCATTCTTTTTTTTTTTTTTTTTTGTCTTTTTCCTTTTTATCGGTACCAGTGATCGAACTCATGAAAACTTCTCATTCTTTTTTTTTTTTTTTTTGTCTAACTTCTCATTCTTTATGAGGCTGGTGTGGGCCTTAAATTGATGTGTTTCCATGTACTCTCTACAGCTCCTCAATTTCAGATATCAAGGCAAGGAGATGGTGTGTTTGGATCAAAGACCCTTTGCTAGGGATCTCAGTACCAAAGCCCCTGGTTGATAGGAAGCCTCTTGAATATTAGAAGAGAGCGTTGACAGGAGGCGCTTTGTCAGCTGTGACCAAGCTTATTTTTTTATTTTTTTGGTCTTTTTCCTTTTTATTGGTACTGGGGATTGAACTCACGACTGCCTACTTGCAAGGCAGGCACTTATGCTGCTGAGCTAAATCCCCAGCCCCCACCAAGCTTATTATAATCCCATTGTTTTAGTTAAGCAGAAACTGATGTGCAGATAAGAGGTTGACATTCTGACAGCTCTAATTTATCACAAACACCAATGTGTGACTGCTCTCAGCATTATCTTTCATGGGGAGTAGATTATTTCATTTTAAATATGAAGAGTAGCATAAGCACCTGCCTGGCAAGTGCAAGGTCCTGAGTTCAATTTCCAGTATCAAACACAAAAACAAAAACTAAAACAAAATACAAATATGTAGAGACTACACTATGTGTAGAGTTGCCAGTGTTTTGGAGTTCAATAACAAAAAATTCTAGATATGGTTGGTGCTGATGTTTGCATTACAGAATGTACTTGGTATCACTGAACTATGCACCTGAAATAGTTAAGCTGCTAAATTTTATGCAATGTACCTTTTACCCCAGGGAAAGCCAAAATGTCTGTCTGCAGAGAAAGTCTTTCCCAGTGAGAATAAAAGGCTGCTGCTGCCATGATGGAAACAACGCAGCCTAACCTGCCCCAGGTGACGGGCTGCTCGACCTGGAAATGCATCCTGGCTGGGCCTAAGTGTCCACCTCTGCTTCTGGCAATTGGGATTCAGCAGTGACTGTAGCCCTGGTGGCCTTGGTGAGTGAAGCCTGTGTCACTGACCCCATGCGGCACACCCATCCCTGCTGCAGGCCAGATGGTACTGAGGAAGAACGCCACCTGGAGTCCTCTTAAAGGATCACACTGTCCACTGATTCTTTTTTGCAGGGAGCAGGGGTACAGGGGATCAAACTTAGGACTGCAGGCTTGCAAGGCAGGGGCTTATGCTGCTGAGCTAAATCCCCTGCCCTGTCCACTGATTCTTAACGTCCTCCTCTGCTGAGATCACGCTTTGGTGAACACTCACATAGGATACAGATATTCCCACCTTTTCCACCCACTTAAAGAGACGGGTCCACTTACCTTTCACCTAGATTTCCTGGCCACCCATTACTAAACCATGTTCATTCTAGGCCCCTGACTGGTGTTGACCCATTTGTGTATAACCCAGCCACTCCAAGATGAGATGCTAGGTCTGTTTTTTTAAATTTTTTTTTAAGCAATCATTAGACGTTAATCAGATCTTTAAAAATACCTTCCCAGCAGCACCTGTATTGGAGTTCAAACAAATGATGAATGCCATAGCTTAATCAGGTGGACAGACACATAGATTGACCCTTATGAACTAGGCA